TACTCCCAACTGGAAAAATATCCCTATTTCTGCCCATCATTTGAAATATCTAGAACTCTGGATTTATTGACAGGAAGTATATTTACCATCTAATCAGACAAATCCTAAAGGGAAAAGAGTGCTGTACACATCAGAGGTACCCTAGAGACTCAGCTGTTCATAACTCTGCGTGAACAGGGGGGAAAGTGCCATATTCCCATTAAAGAGCAACACAGTTGGTTAAAGAATGAACAAAAGGCAGCATTTCTTCATTAGTGTCATTGCAGGAAGCTGATGCTATGAAAGCTGGAGGCCATCAAATGGGATATTGCAGCAATAAAACAGAATGAAAAAATGAAATGCTCCGTTCTCTTGTCAATCTCATATCTTTGTCTCTTTCTTTTTAATATACTAGGCACTACCCTGATAAGCTAATGCATATTTGAGGTTTCCTTTTGTGCTTGGTAATTGTGCTATGGGCACTTATTCATTTGACAGAATTTGCTTTAAATGAAGGAAACTGGCAGGTTGGAAGGAAAAACCCAATGTTGCCAAATCACCAATTAAGGAAACTGCCAGAGGGAAAACTGGACCTGGAATTGGTATCAGTAAAAATGATTTAATGATGCTGCACTTCAAAAGGCATTTTGAAGAGACCCTTAATGAAGGAGATAAGAGAGGGGGATTACAGGGTGGCTAATATATACGATCGCCAAATTTGGACCATGATGATAGACACGATGGGGTACAGTCATTTTTGCAAAGTTCTGGACATCTAAACAACAAATGTGTCCATTTGTGCTGCAGCTGACAGAAAGGCCGACTCTCCCTCTGTAAATGGAGGAAGTCGACCTCATGATCAATTCTGTTCAAAAGTCCTCATCGTGAAGGGATGCTACCTTGGCAGGCACTCAAGATGCAAAGACGAAAAAGCCACCGGCCTGGCCCTCCCTCATGGATCTCATACTCTAGCAAAGGAACAGGGAGGAACACGGAGGCACACAAACTAATTATATGTAGCTCCAAAGAATGAAGCTGAATATTCCTCTACTTTTTCCATTGAGTCTCTGATCAATCACCTAACGGTATCAGGGTGGCCTTTCTTTCTCTAGCTTCCCTCCCTCTTCTTCCCTACAGGAGCCCTGATTTTGCTCAATTTCCTCCATTCTCCCCCATCCCAAGATCCAGCTCCATCTGGAGGGACAGCATCAAAGCCTGCATGTCTTGGAATTGCTCAACAGGCTTTAGTTCCTTTATATTCACAATTAATAAATTCTTTCCCTCTTGTCTCTTTACATTATTTTACCAAAGATTCCCCTTTCAAGAAAATGTAAAGGAGAAAAAGATGAGGGAAGAAAGCTCTATCTTGCCGTAGATAATACCCACCAAAACAGTGGTGTGAAAAAAGTCATGTGAAATTACTAAGCACGTGGAGGTGGCATTATGAAAGACTTCATGGAGGAGATGACATTTATTGGGTAAGATGCTAGTGCACAGCACGGTGCTATCTACTGTCAAATTACAAAATGTAAGCTATGACTCCTGTCCTGAAGAAGCTTTGAATCTAGCCAAGGAGAAAATATAAACACACATGTCATAAAAAATACAAGACACCCTATCATTACAAGCGTAGTACCAATACATTGAAATTTTTGGAACCGAAATTTATTTTTCTGTTTCTGTGCTAAATAAGACTAGAACCAGGCAAAAGTAATTTAGCTGCTTGTTCCTGGAAAGATTTGTTTCTGGAAGTTAAGACTGTGAACCAGCTAAAATA